CCAGAGGAGGGACAGTGGTTTGGACATGTCCAGAGGAGGGACAGTGGGTATATTGGTAGAAGGATGTTAGAAATGCAGTTGCCAGGAAAAAGACAAAGAGGAGATCTATGGATGCAGTTAGAGAGGACATGGAGGGGGTTGGAGTGAGGACAGAGGATGCATTAGACAGAGTGAGGTGGAGACTCTTGCTGTGGAGACCCCTGAAGAGGGAAAAGCTGAAAGATGGTATAACTCTAAAGTGAGACTGAATTAATTTCAGTTCAGTTCAATTCAGTTTATTTATATAGCGCCAAATCACAACAAAGTTGTCTCAGGGCACTGAACAGAAACATTCACATACACAGAAAAGCCACTTAGTACATTTCTCTATCTAAGGAAGCAGCAGACTTGTTGAATCTTGGCTTTATTGCAGTCTCCCATTCTGAGCAAGCACAATTAACACCATGCATTAAAATGTCTTGTTAAATCTTGTGTGTATGAGTTTGAAACTACCTCTCTCTGCAGTCCCTGTTAGCAGCGCTCCATGTGACCTTGTGCTCAGTACTGAGAATGTAACAATGTCTGCCATTAAAGGTCCAGCCCTGAGGACACAACTGAGCATCCAGCATCTGTGGAAACAGACATGTTGGCAAGTTGGTGATCTTTCATAAAGGTAATATGCTCCAACTGAGTCTCAAGTTAACATGCTGTATAAATAGTGAATTCAAAGACAATGAACCATCTTAGCAAATCTAGCAAGGTTAAGTCATTGTCATCTGGACAGATTCTTCTTTGTGGAAATGTTTCACATTTTATCCAAAAGACTTCTTCAGTTTGAAAGTCTGAAGTGTTTTGGATAAAAGACAACATGTTTCAACAAAGAAGAATCTGTCTAGATGACCTGACTCAAACGTGTTAGATTTATCTGCCTGGATTATTGAGCATGAATTAGGATATCTTAGCAAATATTTGGTACTGCTGTCTAATCTTAATAACAGTCAGTTATTTAATAATACTTTGCATGTTTTAATCAAGGCATATTTTGCTTCAGAGGTTAGTACCTGATCAGTCGCTTTCCACAATTTCCAGGACACACCATTGCAGTGAAAAAGTTGGCTGGTGGTTTTGTTGAAATGCAGAAGTCCCATCAGATTTGGTGCACATGGTTTAGGAAATGAGTTATCAGCTGCTGCCTTTAGGCCACAAAGCAAGAATACCAATTAATTTCTGCTGTTTCAACAAATTCTACCTGTTTTCTGGCACCTTGGCAGCTACCCCCACATTTATGAAATAATCTACTACAGTAAATAAAAGAAACATGCTTAGGAGAGCTATAAATAGGTTAAACCCATTTTTAATCAAATCTTATTTATCATCAGCATGGTGGATAAACTTCAACTTCAGTGAGCCTTATATACATATATACCTATACATGTACACATGTATACATATATACCTATACATGTACACATGTATACATATATACCTATACAGGTACATGTATAGGTCTATATGTATACATGTATAGGTACAAAGTATATATGTATACATGTGTATCGGTATTCATGTGTTCTATCTATCTATCTATCTATCTATCTATCTATCTATCTATCTACCTACCTACCTACCTACCTACCTACCTACCTACCTACCTACCTA